ATCTAAGTTGGGTGACTGTAAAAGAGCTGCTTTTATTCGAAAAGAGGCGTTACAGAGGAGTTCAGGGAAGTCATTGGAAGGGTTACCATTAGATGGATTTGATTATGAATCAATTCTTGGACAGTGTTGTGAGATGCCAATTGGGTATATTCAAATACCAGTGGGAATAGCTGGACCTTTGCTGCTTAATGGGAAAGAGTTTTCTGTGCCAATGGCAACCACAGAAGGATGTTTAGTTGCTAGTACTAACAGGGGTTGTAAAGCCATTTATGTTTCTGGTGGCGCTACAAGTGTTTTGTTCAGAGATGCGATGACTAGAGCTCCTGTAGTTAGGTTTGGCAGCGCAAAGAGAGCTGCAGAGTTGAAGTTCTTCGTCGAGGATCCAATGAATTTTGAGACTCTATCTGTTGTTTTCAATAAGTGAGTGTTCTTCTTCTTCTTCTTCAAGTTTTGATTTTTAATATGCTTATACTCATTTTACTGCATTTATCTTTCACTATGAAGCTAGTAGAATCATACTAATCCCTTAAATTTGACTTATATATCAGACTAGTTATGAAAAAGTATTAAATTATAGTTAAAAAGTAGTAATTATGATAGAAATATCATCATATCAAAGTCCAGGAGTTGAATAGCTTTATAAATGTGAATTCTTGAAAATGGTATAAATTAAAATGTATATACTCCCTCCGTTTCAATTTGTTTGTCTTGCTTTCCTCTTTAGTCAGTTTGAAAAAAGAACGTCTCTTTCATTTTTTTGGCAGCTCTTTAATTCTAAGGGCATTTTGGTACATTTAACATTTCTTTAGTTCACGAGATTCAAAAGTTCTCTTTTTTTTTCCCTTAAACTCTGTGTTAGTCAAAACCATACAAACAAATTGAAACAAAGAGAGTAGTATTTTGCTATGTTGCTCGGACTCTTACAAAATGTTGTAGATGTCAGCGGGTGCGTGTCAGATTCTCCAAAAATAGTGTATTTTTGGAGCATATGACATGGGTCCGCATCAAAAGTGAAGAATCCGCACAACTTAGGTATTTTGCTTTGTAGTTGATGAAAGTTACCATGAGAGTGTTCAAACAGTATGGTAGGTGAGAACATCTGGATCTTTCCTTCTTTCTTTTATTGTTCACTAATATTTCAGACATCTTTTCTTAATGCGTTTTCCTTTTGAAGATCCATTGATGTTGGTGTGTTCAGTGAATGAATCCATTTTTTGTTTCTTTTTTCAACAATGTCTTTTTACCCTCTCTAGAACTTTCATCATTGTCTTTATGATTTTATTAGATTTGTCTGTTACTTCAATATCTGTCATTTTCATTAATTTCTTTGGATAAATCTTTGATTTTTTTTCTGGAATCAGCACGTGATCATCCAATACTATGTTTACTAGTTGTATAACATTGGTTTTGATTTGAACTTTACAGATCAAGCAGATTTGCTAGATTACAGAACATTCAATGTGCAATAGCTGGAAAGAATCTATACATGAGGTTTAGCTGTAGCACTGGTGATGCGATGGGAATGAACATGGTTTCCAAAGGTGTACAGAACGTTCTTGATTACCTTCAGAATGAGTACCCCGACATGGACATCATCGGCATATCTGGTACTCCACCTACCTTTTTCTAAAAAGAAAAATCTTTTTTGATACCCTGCGTTCATTGGTTTTTCATGTATACTTGATTTTCATACTGCCTAATGCCAATGTAACGTAGTGTCAAGCCTCAACGACAGCACACCTATTTTTTTCTTCTTTTACCCCCATGATCTGGAGACACTTATTAATTGGAATTGTTGAACTATGACAGGGAACTATTGCTCGGACAAGAAACCAGCAGCAGTTAATTGGATTGAGGGGAGAGGAAAGTCAGTAGTTTGTGAGGCAATCATCAAGGAAGACGTGGTGAAGAAAGTTCTGAAAACTGAGGTTGCTACTCTAGTTGAGCTGAACATGCTTAAAAACCTTACTGGCTCCGCCATGGCTGGTGCACTTGGCGGCTTCAACGCCCATGCCAGCAATATTGTCTCAGCTGTATATTTAGCCACTGGCCAAGACCCGGCTCAAAATATTGAGAGCTCTCACTGCATCACTATGATGGAGGCTGTAAATGATGGCAAGGACCTCCATATTTCAGTCACCATGCCTTCAATCGAGGTATGCATTAAACATATTAATACTTATTCTTGATCATCGTTATATTCTTGGTACACCGTCTTTCCACCCCCAAACTTTTACATGTGACCATTTTAACGATTTTCAAACAACTATGCCTCAAACCCCAAGGAAGTTATAGTTGTCTATATGAGTGCTCTATGCTTTTATCGAAAACAACCTCTCTACCTCTAAGTTCTATGTACACTCTACACTAGGTATGTTGTTGTTGGTATGAGTTTCTTCGTGGTACTTATTATGCATATTATTGTGAATATTTTTCAGGTGGGTACAGTAGGAGGAGGAACTCAATTAGCATCGCAATCAGCTTGCTTGAACTTATTAGGAGTGAAAGGTGCCAACAGAGAGGCACCAGGGTCAAATGCAAGGCTCTTGGCCACAATAGTAGCAGGTTCGGTTCTCGCGGGTGAGCTATCCCTCATGTCAGCTATCTCAGCTGGGCAACTTGTAAAGAGCCACATGAAATACAATAGATCATGCAAAGATGTCACAAAGTAATATGCAACAACACAGCTAATTTCTCCCCATCTTAATGTTTCAAAATTGTTACAGATTTTATTATTCCCAACAAGCAACTTTCTTGAAATATATATAATCATCATCATCATCTTTGAAATAAAGGATTATAATACCAAATATAGGAAATAATATTATCATATTATTAGAGACAAGATGATCTGTATGCTGTGTTGTATGTATTAATATGCAAATATTTTTTAAAAAAAGATACTAAGTGGGGAGAAGGTAGTTGGTATCATTAAGTTTCAATTTGTGTCAAGGTGGATGACCTTATAATGTCTTTAATTTTGTATTTTCTTTTGTACTTGTTATTACTTTGTAATTTATTGCCAAAAATCAAAATGGCATCTCAATATTGGTGTTGTTTTGATCTGCACAAAGTGTTGTATCTTTTTAAATAAATTTCTTTCATTCACTAGTTGAGCACTTTCTCTTGTCAAATATTAAAGAAAATAATATTTACTTAAAAATCATTAGCGTATTCGTATCTAGTGACGTGCCCCACATTTCACAATTATCGTATTGAAATGGATACAAAAATAATCAAGGAATTCAACTATATTTATATTATTTCTTTAACGAAAATTTTGACTTCGTCGTTACCCATATGACTCATTCCCTTCATTCACCATATAATTTCAAATTCACTTTTATGACTCCACTCGGTATGTGTTAATTGAGACATTTAAGATAGATATAAAGGATATTTGACAAGTACTCTTATGAATAAGGCTATCAAAAAAACTTTCTTAAAAGTTGTAAAATTATAAAAGAGTTAAACGATAGAAAAAAAATAACTGAATTACTTTGTGAGTTTCACACTAACTATTAATTTTCTTTTTTGTCATCTTAATTATCATAATTTATGTATTAAAATAGCAGATTAGGCCAACTATCTATTGTTCCCATTTTTCATCAGAACTATCATCATTTACTCAATTAAGTGTATTTTAATACATAAATGGTGATGGTTCAATTAAGAAAATAAAAATTGTCTATATATAATTAAGATATGAAACTCATAAATAAATAATATAGTTCATTTAGTTTTTTTTTAAATATTACTATGACTTTTGTAGCTTAAATATAAGAAAAAATTATCTAAATAGACAATTTATTTTATTATGTTCTCTGAAAAAAATTAGTAAAATTTCTACTCTGTTCTCGAGACAAAATATATTCGAAACCGGAACGTGACCAAATTCCATCAAAGGTAATTTTCTAAAAAAATTGGGTAAGATCCACCGAAGTGGGTAGCCTTAACCGGATGTGTCTGATAACAGGTAAAGCCCGAAGGCTGTTCCCGTCCCTGTCGGGGGAGATGCCAACCATCTCTCCTTTCTACGAACACATTATTAGACCAAGTTATGAAATTATATAAATACAATTTTTTTTTAATAAACTCGCGATGTGGGACAATTTGGTAGACTTTTCTCAATTTCACTTCCAAATGTCTTTAGCAACTTTAAGCAAACACTATTGAGGTGTTAATAGGTAACTCATCAATAATTTCTAAACAAGAAATTTTAATGATACCAATACAATATATATATACTAATTTAGTATCAATTAAGCACAATTATCAATTTTAATGATACTAATATAATATATGATACTGGTTTAGTATTAATTAATGAATTGGGTGTATGGACTGTAATTTTTTTGAGAAAATGAATATTTCTTGAATTACTTTGGATTAGGATATGAACATGAAATTATTTTGAGTTTTATGACTCATTTATGTAATTTTTCCTTTATTATATAACCCAGCCCAAAGTCTAGCCAATTGGACACCCATACTTTTTAGTTGTAATGGATCGATGCGAATTTAGAATTTGAAGTTTATGAATTCTTATAACGATCTTTAGTTAATACATCCTTCCTTTCACAATAAAATATTTATAGATATTTAATGAATTGTTAAACATATACATAATATTGAACAAAAGCTATTAAATTCATGTGAACCTTCATGTACCATGGATCCACCCCTAGTAATAGGTCCTATGGATGGAGGTTAACCATTTTGTTTGTTATTATACACATTTTTTGAAGTTCTTACACGTAATTTATTGCACCATTAAAATTGCAACAAATATTATATTCGAAATTCATATTTCAAAAGTATAATGAGTTCAATATCTTAGAAATTTTTTTAAGTTGAACCTATCAAATTTAAATTCGCCTCTAAAAAGTAAGTGGAGTTTGGAAAAGATAGAGTGTACGCATACCTTATCACTAGAGAGGTTGTTTAAGTCATTCAAAATTAATCTTGATTACAAAATTACAGCTCTTCAAGGCATGAAAGACTGATCACATGATAGAATTGCAATAAAGCAAATGCTAGCCATTGTATCCATCAAATTCATCCAAACCTTGAGGTACCAAGGATGGCCCTAAGGTTTGTAAATCGTTGCAAAAATGTTTTTTCTTGTCGATAAATTCATGATAACAATAATTTATTTGAACAGATGCGGAATTTAAGCAAATACCGATTCTTTCGTGGCTAGGCTGCCATGCTATCAATCACTCTTCCCTTCTTGGGCTCCAAGTTCTTGCAAATAATGCTCTGCATCCAACGCTGCCATGCATCCTGCAAAACAAGTTTTTTCAAAGAGATCACTAACTTTGATACCTGAAACCAATCAATCTTAAGACAATTCTAGTAAGGATATTGACACACACATACAGACTAACAATAGACCATATATGATCTCACGAACACTGACATTGTCGCAAACTGACACTAGATGTGAAATTTTCATAAACTTGAAAAAACTTAGATATCAAGATTGACAACATATTTCATGCATTCAATGTAAAGCTTACCCCTTGAAAACTACTCTCTTCAAAGCATGTGTCAAAGTACTGGTTAATACAGGGAGTTGAGAAACATGCATTGTCTAATGTTTGTGAGACAAATCTTTGACTTAAATCCAGCTCGCGATCAGTAATATAATAAAGATTCACATTCTCCACCAAATCAAAATAGTAAAGCGACTCATTGTGTCATAAAGAACAACAGCCCACTTATGAAGCCCATAGCATATAAATGTTAACAGTTCAAAATTGGTTAAGGTAATATCCTTATCGGATCGACACTGATTAATAGTTTGGAAGTCGGGGTTAGCACTGAAAGGTGCCGACATAACAAATGCACTGCTTGACATTTGTTGATCCTATAAGTATAATGATATCAGAAGATCATAGAATCAAATGGTTGGTACAAAAGTTTGACGTTGATGCTTAGACAAATAGGAGGTCACAATTTAGATTTCAAAAAGTGCAGAACTATATTAGGAAAGGTGTAAAACCAATTTATTTTATATTTGAGTGATGTATCCTACATCACGGTCCGGAGAAGGGACGCACCCCAAGGGATGTGATGTATTGTAGGCAGCTTATCCCGATACAATCATCATTGGTTGATTCCATGGGTCGAACCCGTGACTTATGGGTCATATGGAGACAACTTTACCATGGTCCAGGCTAGTACATTAAGAAAAACTGGCAATCAACTTCCTATCAAAAACTTTTACCTCCAGAAACTCTCAAGCTCTAGGGAATTGAAACAATTTTCCAGAGAACTATTGCTTATAGATATATCAATGCACTACACTATACCCTTGAGGTGAAAAATATTTTACCTACCCTTCGGGGTGGCCCAGTGGTTTGAGCTTGGGACTTCCATGTTGGAGATCTCAAGTTTGAAACCCCTTGCCAGCAAAAGCAAGGGGTTTGCCTTCTGGGTCGAGCTCGTCGCACCAGGCTTGCCTAGTGCGGTTTACCTCTCCTATGTGGTTTGCGAGCTATTGCATAGGAGCGGGGGTTTTACCCTGTGCGCACCCAAAGGATAGCGGCTGCAGGTTTCCCTTGTCATAAAAATATATATATATATTTTACCTATCTCAGGAAGTTGCTTTCTGCTCAAGCAATCCTTACAAGATACCATCATAATGGACTACAGAAAATATCCTTTTGACTAATATCAAGGGCTACAAATTTATTGTTTAATAAGGGTTGTTTTTCCATTTCTCTTTAATTGGAAGTGATTTTTCACTAGTTGTCCAGCAAAATCTTGGGAAAAAGTCAAATCATAATCAAGTGACTTTGTGAAAAAAAATGAAGAAAAAAACTCTTCCACAACGACTTCCCAAGAACATACTAATTATTACAAACAATGCATAAAGAAAATTGCTGGTTATAGTGTTATACCAGGAGCAGCAGGATGCTTCATTTCCTCTTAATCAACTTCCATTTGTATTCATTATGTATTTCTGGTTACTCCTATATGATACCCTTCTTCTCATTCTCTCTTAAATGGCATTGACCCTTGAGGAGTTTCATTTACTAAGCTATAAACTGAATAAATTTTTCCCCTGATCAACAATATGAACCGCTACAACACCTTTTGCTAAATAGAAACCTCGCTTCTTTTATTACATCTATGATGTCTCCTGGAAGTCAGTATCGACACTTGACGCTACTAATTGAATAGTTTTTGAGAATTCCTATGTTCAAACTTTGATAACCTAACCCACATTCAATAGAGCCAGCCAACCTTCCCTAGATATAGGGGGATCCAATTAATAAAAAATGCAGGGTGCTACTGCTGTAGCTGCAATGAGGAATGCTTCCTTTGAAGTCTTTCTTAATATGATAGAAAGCGCCTCCTTATTCTCAGCATCTATCAAGGTCGTGTACCGTAAAATCCTTGTACACTTTTATCAAAGCAGCATACTTTAAAACATTTTGATGCTTTACTTCCAGCTCAGAAAATAAAGGGTCAAATTGCTAACATTAGTTCAGTATTTCCAAGAAGGACATAGTATTATCCAATTCTTAACAATTAAAACTATAGAGAATCACCAAACTAGAGTGAGTGTTAATTAATTTCAAAAAATGGGATTTTGGATTATTTTTATGACTTTCACATCCATCTATGTGCAAATAGCCCAAGATTCAGACAGGTTTCGATTGAGGCTTAGTTTTCTTGTTGAAAAAAGGGGATTCTTCAGCACTGTTGTAATTTCAACTCTATGACATTCATCAAACACAACCAATAGAGAAGCACCATGCTCAATGAAGCAAACTAACAAAGAGCAAACAGCAATGTAAATTAGGATCACTACCTGAACCAGCAGCAGTGATGGCTTGCCGGTACTTCTTATCTTGCACATCACCAGCAGCAAATACACCTCTAACGCTAGTCTTTGTCGTCCCTGGCACGGTTGCAACATACCTCTCAGCATCCAACTGCAGTTGTCCATCCAAAAATTTGGTAGCAGGTTCATGCCCAATAGCAAAGAACAAACCCGAAACCTCCAAATCTGATACCTCTCCAGTAACCACATTTTCCACCTTTAATCCACCCAAAGACTTCTCCCCATATGCCTCCACCACAGCAGAATTCCAAATCACCTCTATCTTAGGGTTACTCAATGCCCTATTTCGCATAATCTTCGAAGCCCTAAATTCATCCCTCCTATGAATTATATACACTTTCGAACCATATTTCGTCAGAAATGTAGCTTCTTCCATTGCTGAATCTCCACCACCGATCACCGCCAAAGGCTTGTTACGAAAGATCGGAGCTGCGCCGTCACACACAGCACAAGCCGAGATCCCGCGATTCCAATATCCATTTGCGCCGTCGCCGGATCCAGGAAATTCAAGCCGCTTGGCAACAGCACCAGTAGCGATAATGACAGCGTCTGCTAGTACAGTCCTTTCATCGGACATGACTTTGAAAGGACTAGCAGAGAAATCAACGTTACTTACAGTTTCAGTGAAGATCTGTGTACCGAATCGAACAGATTGAGCACGGCACCGGTCCATGAGTTCACCACCGGCGAGTCCTTCCGGGAAACCGGGGAAATTCTCAACCTCGGAGGTGGTTGTGAGCTGTCCACCTGGCGCGATATCATTGGCCATCCATCCTTCAAAAAGGATCGGTTTTAGCTCGGCGCGTGCTGCGTAAATGGCGGCGGTGTGAGCCGCCGGTCCACTTCCGATGATGCAAACTTTGGTCTTCTGTATGTCCGCCATAGAGGTTATATTAGCGACACGGTGATGGTGGTGGTTGGTGGCGGCGACGACGACGGCGACGGCGGAGAGTTATATATTGTTTTTGGGTTTTCTGGAGTGGATCTTTATGACATGTGGCCTATAGTTACGGATCAAAACTTTGTTTTAAATGGGTCGGATTTTGGCGGGTTCGGTTTTTTCATATTTTCATTCTTGAGCGGGCTTTGGCGCCAAATTCAAATAGTGGTTAAAAACGAAAATCATTAATTTTCTTTTATTTAAATTGGAAGATTTTATTTCATCCTTTCTTTATGCATTATATCGGCCACAAGCAAGTAAGGTTGCGTATCAGTCAGTTGAGTTCAATTTTGAAGTTTATTGATTTGATTTTTCGATTATTAATTTGTAGACCTGTTTTCAATCACCTCATATATCTATTTAAGGCTTAATATTACAGCCTTTAGATGTATTTCTTTTATATTACTACTTATAGCAGTTTAATTACAAATATTAACAGATTAGTTTTAATTTATAATTTAATTAATTAGTTATTTTTATAATTACATTATAATTAATAAGTAAGAAAAATAACATTAATATTAGAGAATCAATTGTCATTATCTCTTACACCATTTTTTTTCTCTCTCACCATCTTCAACGTTCGTCTTCTTCATTCAAAAAGAAAATCAGTAGAACTCCGACATTTATATGATTTAATGGTGGAATTAGATCTACATACGAAGAATGTTGAAATTCCTGCAAAGTGTGGTTCCTCTCAGTCGAAGGATCAAAAGAAGAAAAAAAACGAAGCAAAGAAAATGGTGAGTCCGGCAAATCAAAAGGGAAAGAAGAGGAAGGGGAAGATTGTAGAAACCCCTTTTGATTCGAATTCTGATTTTGTTAGTGAAATAAAAAAGAAAAAAAGCAACAAATGTAGAAATTGCTCAATCTTCAAAACCATCAACAAGAAGAACAACAAAAAAGAAGGAATCAGAAATTCGAATATCCAAAAAAGGCAAAAAAATTTGTTAGGGTAAGTATTATATTTAATTTATTTTCACATTATTCAAATTAGTGATTTTTTTGCTAAAAATATCACATTATGCTTATTGTTGTTTCGAAACTTTTGTTTGGGTGAAACTTGTACGAAATGTGAATAATATTTATATGAATCTGACTTTAATATATGATTTTGGGATATTTTATGAAATGTGATATAATATTGGTAAGCAAATGGTATGAATTGTGTTTTGACATTGGTATGAAATTGGTTTGATATCAGTAGCCCAATGGTATGAGTTGTTAAAGTGGTATGGAGATGGTATGAATTGTTAAATTACTCTGTTTTGTATGAATTATGATTAATATTGATATGAAATTGAGATTTTTTCTAATAGGAAGGTTTCTTTTTCAATTTCTTCATTAATGTATTTAAATTTTTAACATTGGTATGAAAATGGTATAAAATGATTTTTCTTTCAAGTTTTTTTCAGTGATTGTGGTTTGTACATGTGTCTATTTGTTGAATACATCAGTAATGAAGTTTTTGATATGCGTTCTGTTGATATCGATGCAAAGTACCATCGTCAAAGGTATGCCACAATCATATGACATTATGGAAAAACAAAGAATGATGATGGCGCGACCAGTGAGAGTGAAGTAACTGGCACTGTTGCTAGCAAATTTGATGGACCCCGCATAGCAAAAGAACATGCTCCGAATACCAGCAATTATCCCACACCAAGACCACGGAGATCAAATTTGAGATAGTTGATTGCACCTTAGACTTTTTAGAATTACAAGTTTTTTTCTTCTTTTGGACGATATTTTTGTGTTTGTTACAGCTTTAAGTATTTGATATATATAATATCCACTGTTTTATTTCAAAAAGATACCAATTACATATGAATTGCAGATTGACTATTGTAATAGCAGGATACTAGTTATATACAGACTGCATTCCAAATGGATACACCATTCTAAAGATAAATTACACATTGACTATAATAATTCTCGGAATAACAGTTATATACAAAATGCATACAAATTGGATTCAACATTTAGAGTTAATGATTTTACAATGTCTTATTAACTAGAAAGAAATCATACTACTAATTTAGAGTTCATGAACTAACTCTGACTTATAATTGGTATCCAAAATGTACACCTTTGGCATCCAAATTCATATTCTAACACAAAAAAAATAAAAAAATAAAAAATAAATGAAGTTGGTATCCAACATGTATAAATACCTTGTATAAACAATTATGCCAATGTAAAATAGTATAATTTTATTTTTTTGTATAAACGATTATGCCAATGTAAAATAGTGATAATTGTATTTTGTAACAACCTCAATTACATTTTTGTTTTACATTTTTTTCATCCTGGACAATTTACAACCTAATTGTAAATTATATTGTCTTAACAAGCGTGAATTAAGTATTTTTAAAGATGTATGAAGTTGTATACAATCTGTATAAATACTGGAATAAACGAATCTTACAATTTAAAACAGAGATCATTAAATGTTGCACCAACATCAATTACATCTGGTTTTATTTTGTTTTTTTGAAAATGGATAAAATAAGACTTTTTAATTAATTTTAACAGATTAGAGTGAATTAAGGAAAACAAATATTCCTAATTAGTTTGAATCTCCTAAATTTATGCTAATTAATAATTATCATCAATCAATTCAAATTTAATTAATACATCTATTTCCATTTTTTCAGTTTTTTTCTTTATCATTTCTAATTCCGTTTTTTTTTAAATTTTCGTTTATCTTTTTTTTTTTTTTTTAAAGTTTTTTCCAATTAATAAAAACATTTCTTTTTTTTGTAAATTTGTTATAATCTGAAATTTTTAATGCTATAGCTTGAAAGTCTAAATCTACTGCTATAGCTTGAAAATAGTACTATAATATATGTCATATATGAAATTTAAAATCATCTTAATATTGGTTTACTGGTTATAGATTGTTAGCGGCTCAGCTATCGATTTAACTATTAAGACTTGACATTAAAAAAATCATTGAAATTTTCACTTAGAAACAATGTGGCAAATCAAATAAATCAAACATATGAATTGACAAATTTCATCTTGCTCAAAAGTAAACATTGTCACATTGAAGGATAATAAAAAAATTGAGAAAATCAAAAATAGAAATATGAAACTAAACTCTAAGTCGAAAAATTTATATGTCCGAGAACTTGAATCTGATACCTCTAATTAAGAGAGGAGCAGCACATCTGTTACACAATATTCATTGATGATGGTAAAAATGGTCCTGGATGTGAATTCATAATGTGAAACGGGCAGTTTTTTTCTTTTCTCTTTGGAATAAGGGATAGATGGTAATTAGTACTCAGATATTACTTTTGTTGTCTTAATTAAATAACATGTCATAATTAGTAAGATGCGTCAATAATATAAAAATAATTTACACTATTGATAAACATAAGAAGTATATAATTATATAATAATTATTACTATTTATATAATTTAACTTAATTTTTACTTTTACTCTATTTAGTATGATAGTAATAAATTTTGAATGAGATTATAAATAAAGCAATATGAATTCAAGCGATGACAGAGACATTATTATTATTATATTAACATTCTAACGAAATGATTAAAGATAAAAAAGACTTTAATCTCAACAATTGACTAATTAAAGCAAAGGTGTTTTTCATCATGGAGACATAACTAGTGAACTTTCCCAAAGTTTGAAAAATAGGATGGGGGATTAATCTAATAATTATATTAATTTTTCAAACCCCCAAAATGTTCTCAACAACACAACTTTTAACATCAACTTTTATTGATTTTAGTTATGGTCAAAATAATAGACTTTTGTTAGGTGGCCACATAATCTTTTGAATCTTCACCCTATACCTACTAAGAACCTTCTCCCAAAAATAAGGCAGTTTATAATACTATTATTTTTAGCAAATTATCAATCAATATTTATCATAAAGATTTATTTTCAATTATCTTATAAATAGATTACTTATATAAATACTTTATTGGTCTCAAATAAGTGTCATTTTAAGTATTCAAGATAAAATTTAGTATGTTTTTTTTTCTTTTTAACTATACCATCATATATTATTTTTTTAATAATGTTTAATTTTTAAGAGATTTGTTAAATAAGAATACTTTTTAGTAAACTATACATTATTTTTATTGATTTTTTAATAGACATGATTTTTATTAAAATAACACTTGTTTTAGGACAGAAGGAAGACCTTTTTCCCGATATCAAATTATCAATACATACATAAAGCTTAAATACCAAAACAAATATAAAAAGTACAACACTAATGCCATAACACAAGTGTTAAGTTTTTTTTTTTAAAAAAAAAAGATTCTCGTTTGGTAAACAATATCTACATCAAAATCTGACTAATCCAAATTTACACCACATAATATCCAGTTAGAGAACAATACTCACTACAAAATAAAATTCATACACAAAATTTGAACCCAAAACCTCAAAGCAGCTCCATTCATACAACAAAACTTGTCCTATTTCCATTGTAATTTTGTTCCTTTTTTTTTCCTTTGAAAGGTCCACAACATTTCCAATCATTCAACAAGAAGAACACACAAGGACAAACAGAACAGTATCCAATGTACAAACAAAAACATCAAGAAGAAAAAGACAAACAAAACACACACAAAATGTTCTATTTCAAATCTCATGACCAGGCAATTTTCACCTGAATTAAATCTAAGGTACCATATGATCAAACAACCCAAAAACACATTAAATAAAGAAAATGAAAATCAAGGTGAAAATAAATAGTACTTATCTTAATATATTTACAAGGATTTTGACTTTATTTTAGATGGACGAAACTCACTAATCTGATTAATTTGAATTATCAATTGCGTTGAGCTCATTAAAAAATAAAATATTTCCTTGCAATTTTTTTCTAAATTTTCACGATTTGAATTCAAGACCTCTTCATCGACTTGCCATCTTTTCTACCTTTCTGGGAATTTCTCTAATTTCAGAACTCAAACTCATAAAATTCAAGAGCTCTTGTTAAAGTTGCAGAATATCTCTATTTTCAGAACTCAAACTCAATCATGACATCTCTTGTTAGACTTGCAATCTCTTCGACCTTCAACCTT